AAAGTTCATTGACTTAGCGGTCCCCCTCCCCACTTTTTGTTGCAGCAGAGCCAATTAATCCTCCGATGCTAATGTTATTTAAAAGAAAATTCTTGAAAACTATCTCCTTAACCCCCCCCCCCCCCCACCACCACCACCACCACCATCCCCGTGAAACATGGTTTCGAGTTTGGATAATTTTCCTCTTTTGGTCAAAGATTTTCAGGTACATGTAAGTTGTCATTTCCCCCGGCTGTCCCCCAGTTTCAAAATTATGCTATGTGCATAAGTTATGGTGACTGTTGCTAAGTTCTATACCATGCTGGGGGCGTGGTTTCATCATTTAGATGGTAATATTGTTTTTCTAACAAATGTAACTCGAATCAAATTCAACTAATTAACCTAATTTACATGAAAAATGATATAAAGAATTATTTCAAGATATCAATTTCCACACTACCTCTAGTTAATATTTTTATCGAAATATCATCATAAAGAGTATAATACATCTTAAATATAAAGGTATAACTATATTTTATATTCGACTTGGGGAATCTACCTTGGCTATTCTACTTTCAAATATAAAATTCCTTAATTAAACAAAATTAAAATTGTGATATGTACATACAAGACTATACACGCTACACAAACGATGATACTTGATTAATTCTTTGTTGACAATAAGTTTTAGCCACTGTAAATAGCATAAAAGTTCACAGTCAAAATATTTCTCATCTCTGTATTTCTTTTTCAGTGCTAATTTCCTTTCAAAATAAATATGCAATTCTCCTCTAGAAGCGAACAAAATACTAGTAATCAAAAAACGTATTACAGTCCCTGAATCGTTCTACTTTCCCACTTGAATGGTGATCGAACGCTGAGTAAACGGCGAGCGAACACTAAACGCAACTTGGTGAAGGGTGATTGAACGTACACAGAAAGCGAATGGAGCGCAAAGTGAACGAAAGATGAAAGACTTATTCGGAATTTCCTTGCCTTATACGTATTCCATTGTATTCTTTTGTCAGGTAAACAAAAAATTGTACATTATATATGTAGTCACAGAAAAATGATCGCCGTGGAACATTGTCACAGATATCGAACTCTGCCAGTTACTATAAAGAAAATTATTCTATAAAATGGACATGGTTATTATTTTTGGCCAATAAAATCATTACATAGCTCGCCTTTCAGAACAGTAGATGGCCTATTTACGAAATGAATTACAAGCACATTTCTGTACAAAGGCGATTCGGTGTGAAATGATAAAAAAGTGTCTTAATCAGAAATATTTTTCATAGGTCTGTGGATGTGTCGCAGAAATTATACATGTAGTCAAATTTACTATTTTCCACGATGATTTTTTCTGCAGATACCTTTGGACACCTCCTCCCCGTGATTTATATTTGAAGATTATACAAAGAGGCATCTATATTATTTTATTATAGATTCAAATTTTAAGAAATTGATATTTAAATAACATGCTGTAATAGTTTAATGAAAATATACAATTTATATGGCTATGGATTACATGTGATCACTGAGATTTATATTCAGTCTGTATTTTTTCACGTTATTATAATGGGACTGAAATGTCAAACATCCCAAATTCGCTGCAATACACCTGGCGGGGATGCTGAGATTTCTTATTATTGAATTAAGGATCAGTTAAAAAATGTAAATATAGGGAAAAACTGTCTGTTGATTGGAATAGATAACCATACTTGTAAATCCTTTTTATGTTGCATATATCGCCCTCCAAACTGGGATAGAAGTTTTTGGACTAAACTCACATGGTGCATTGACAAAGTAGACGAACTTCAAATATTATTAGTAGGTGACTTGAATGCAGATCTTCTTAAGTTCCACAAACAAACATAATTCGTGAAATCGTTTCAACACACAATCTTTTTAACATTGAACCGACTAGAACTTCACACACGTCGAGCACGCTTCTTGACCCAATTCTTACATCTGTTGACATTCAAATATGCGATTCGGGCACTCCAACAATAGACGCTTCTATTAGTGACTATAGAGCAACTTATATACTTGAGGGAAAAAGAAACGCAGGGTAACATAATATGAGAGTTGTTTTTTACTGCTCAACCGAAAATTATGAAAATTGGTCAGAGGGATATCTTGGTTACTGTGCATTAAAATCAGTGTTCAAAATTACTCAACCGTGACATGTATGACGTCACGTAGGGAAAGTGGTAAAAAGTCGAAAACACGTACATATTGATGACGACATGTTTTTCAACACATCTTTTCGAACCATTTGCTGCACTTAAGTTATACACATCGTTTTTCGGTATTTACAGACGATGTGCATTTTTTGCAATCATGGTACGGTTGACGGAGTTCCATGGGGTCTGCCTATTGCATTGCCTAAGTAAGGACAAAGAACACAATCCAAAAATAAAAGGGAAAATCAAAATTCCCTTTTTTTGACCCAATTTTTCATATCTGCAGTCATTTTCAGTGCAACAAGCAAAGGATAAGCTTTCAAAAGTCAAGGTATAAGGAACGTTCCTCAGTCTTTGACTTCTAAAAGCATTACAAAGACACTGAAAATAATGAATTCATCCAAAACACTTCTTATTGAATTTTTCTGTTACTCAGAAAATTTCCCTTATCAATTTTGATTGAAATTACTTCATAGAAAATTTGAGGAACGTTCCTCTTTTCAGAATACATGAAAGCTGTCCAAAAGATTGCAGCAATATTTCAGTATGCTTGAAAGCTGTACAAAGCATTTGAGGAACGTTCCTCTTTTCAATGCATTGAAAGCTATGCAAGGCATCCGAGGAACGTTCCCTTCCCCCTTTCATTTGGCTAAACCTGCATGATAGATCTGAGGAACGATCCTCCTTTTAGTCTGACTTTAAGATTTTCATAACATTTGGGGAACGTTCCTCTCTTTTTATTCAGACTCTAAGATTTAAAAAACATTTAGGGAACGTTCCTCTCTTTTTATTTCGACTCTAAGATTTACAAAACATTTGGGGAACGTTCCTCTTTTTTTATTCAGACTCTAAGATTTACAAAACATTTGGGGAACGTTCCTCTCTTTTTATTTAGACTCTAAGATTTACAAAACATTGGGGGAACGTTCCTCTTTTTTATTCAGACTCTAAGATTTACAAAACATTTGGGGAACGTTCCTCTCTTTTTATTCAGACTCTAAGATTTACAAAACATTTGGGGAACGTTCCTCTCTTTTTATTCAGACTCTAAGATTTACAAAACATTTGGGGAACGTTCCTCTCTTTTTATTCAGACTCTAAGATTTACAAAACATTTAGGGAACGTTCCTCTCTTTTTATTCAGACTCCAAGATTTACAATACATCTAAGGAAGTTCCTTTTTTCAGTGCCGAAATCTATGAACAGATTTTGAGGAAGTTCCTCCTTTATAGTCTCGCAGACATCTGTACAATATATTTCATTTCAAATCTGCAAAAGAATTTGAGTCGTGTTCCCCATTTCAATCTGACCAAAATTAAAACATCCAAGGAACTCTTTTTATTCTGGCTGAGATCTATACAAAGAATATGAGGAACATTCCTCTTTTCAGTTGGACTGAAATCTAAGCAAAATAAGCGAGAAGCATCAAATTTCCTCATATCAAAAAGAAAGCTAAGGCCATTCCAAGTTTTCTCTCTGTCTGCGTCCACCTTAAATTCGAAAACCTATCTTTCTATCCGGAAATGACACACAAAACAAATGGGAAAAAAACACAACATTTTAAGCACAATTCTAGAATTTTTTATCATCATATGAGAATTCTCCTTGCATTGTAACCAAGTTAAACTACTAGTTTATTGATACATAAAAATTTTGGTACACCACTTAAAAGAGAGAGTTGCCTATAGCAAAAGAGTAAAATTGTGTTTAAAATATTTTTCGTTGATTTTAATTTGTGTGTTTGTTTTTAATTTCATAAGCTCATAATCAATCCATCCACGGATGCTAAACATTGAAAAAACTTGGAATGGCAAAACCTTGGAATAGCAAAACTAACCGAGAACATATTACCTTTCATTAACTAAGCAATTGAAGAACGTTTTAACTTTCATATTTTAAAGTCGCTGCATGGCGCAGTGGTAGAGCATCTGCTCTAGAGTCGCGAAGTAAGGAGTTGATCCTTAAGTAGTGGGTTCGAATCCCACTGTGGAAAGAGGAGACCCGTCCTTCGAATGAGACCGTATTAACCCGAGGTCCCGTGTCGCAGTAGGTGCTGGCACGAAAAAGATCCCTCGATGCACAATGGCCCTGAGTGCCGAGTATAGGTAAAAATTTTGCAGCTCTCCACCAGCAAGTGGTGGCGTCTCCATATGAGTGAAATATTCTATTCTCAGGAGGGACGTTAAACAACAAACAAACAAACATTTTAAATTTGAACCAATCTTCTGATTGGTGTAAAAGTCATCTGTTTTCGAAAGCATTTTCAGTTTTCATTTCTTTTCATGATAACAGTGTTGTATATTAGGTTCTTATACTTATCAATTTACAGAAGAAAAGATACATTAAAGTTCTTGGTTTTTCAAATACTGTATTGGAATTCCTTATTACTCAAATGCCTAAATATACACAGAGAACAAAATGTGCCCGTTTATGACAATAAAGGCACTCCCATACACTGATTGAACTTCCTATGTTTAAGGGGAAAAAAAGACAGTTTTCACAGAAAAGGAAAACAAACAAAAGTGACATATACATATACTAGCTCTAATCAGTAGAAACAAGTTTGAAACACATATAATAGTTGTAAAAAAAACTGTTAGAGTAATATTACTTGTACTAAAAAAATAATATTGATAAGTTTTCAATGACACAAGTACAGTGAGAAAAAGTTATTGCAGGCTTATATTCCTTATTATTATAAATGTACTACATTTTAAGATATATAACTTTATAAAAAAGCAATAAAATAACTCCCCATAGCTGCAGACAGACAAGCAGAAACACACATTTTTCGTCCACTGTGAGGCAACACACACAGTTACCAATGTGGCATTAGTTCTTAAAGATTGCTTTGAGCTTATCTATGATATATTCAGGCAGAACTTTCTCTGGAATGAAATTAAATCTGCAGGCAACACGTGTGTTCTGGACAACATCTGGGTCACATCCAAGAAATTCAGGGTTGAGTTCCCATGTGGAATTGTAACTTCCTGTTAGCCAAGAAACCTTCAATTTAGATTTCGCGACTTCATTGACAAGTGCCAACCAAGGTTCCCCATCGATGATATCCCTCTTTCTGATTGGCTTAATGGCCACAACCATATTCTTTTTAACATCTTCATGACCCTCTTTGAAATCCCACTGATCTGGCTTGAGAGCGCTTTTCTTTGGTGGTGGAATGTCCAGATCTTCTGTGGAATCTGTATTATGAAATTGACATTTTAACTCTAAATTGTTAAAATTGAATCTATTACAGTATAACAGTAAGGGTTGAAGGAGGTAAACTGAATCGTTTTCAAAATATCAGACAGTTTCAGAATTGAAATGCAGATCAATCCTGCATAAAGTTTCATTTGCATAATTCAGTTGGTCTTCAACAAAATATTAAACTTGTTTTGGTTAAATTGGAGATATGAACCAGATTTTAAGGAAGTTAATAATTCCAGAAGAGGTAGGGGGCCAATCTAGACTTGTGAAAATTGTCCTCTTCTCATTTCATATACCATTTCGCTTGACACAACTGCAATTATTAATCAGCATTACCTTCAAGAAGAATGGATGGTTGTTAAACATATTCAGTATATGCCTAAAAAACATCAAGAGGCCATGGGTCACAATGCTCACCTGGGTCTATATGGCCCTGGTGTTTTTCATCACCCATTTTTTTTTATTATGCACTTCCTAAGGATGCATCATTATCAATATGACTAATAATGGCTTTGCTGTTCTTGTGAATAAGATTTTTAAAGACCTTTCCCTATATATTCCTAGGTAAAACTTTGATACCCCACTGTAGCCTAACCCTATTCCCAGGGGTTATGATTTTGAACAAATTTGAATTACATTGTAATATCTGAGGATGCTTCCAAATCAGTATGACTAAACATGGTATTGTTGTTCTAGAGAAGAAATTTACCTATATATTGTGTAAAACTTTGACCCCCCAATGTGGTCGCACCTTATCCCGGGGGAAATGAATTGAACAAACTTGAATCTACACTGTCTGAGGATGCTTCCATATCAGTATGACTAAACATCAGGCTTTTTTGTTTTAGCAATTTTTTTTTCAAATTAATGGCTCTAACAAGTAATTTGGTTGATTGCCTATCTAGAGTTCATTTTTCGTAAAGATTTCCTACATATTCGTATGTAAAACTTTGATACACCATTGTAACCCCACCCTATCTTGGGGCCATCATTTGAACAAAGCTACAGTTTGTAAAGAACTTTTTTGGACGGACGGACGGAAGACAGACAAAAGGTGATCAGTTCAGGTGACCTAAAAGAAGTCTTATAACCTATTAGCAAGATGGAGGGATTTCTCAGTTTTGGTTAAATTAAGTTGTTATTTTTCAGATTGTCTATTGAGGTGTCATACCTAAATTATCATATGTGAGTGTACAAGCATATTCTATCTCTCAAATAAAGCCCCCAATGATTCAGTCAGGTCATCATTGTGAAATTAACATGCCTACTCTATAGATCAGTAGCAACAGTTTGTCTCCAGGCTGCTCAGGAGATGAGTACCAGACATTTAGCATTCTTATGTAGACATTTGGCATTGACATTTTGAAATTACCTCTGTCACTCTTCCTTTTGCTGCAAGATTTTTCTTGCATTTCTTTCATCATTCTGCACTCCTTTGTAGCTTTATTTAATTTTTCCTGTGAAACAAAATACATATAATTTTTTTTTTCAGATTACTTTTGATGCATTAATATTCATATTTTGTTATTTTTTAATCTGGAAAAAAAGAACTTGCCCTCAGTGAAATTATTTCATGTAAATGTTGTTCTGCTTTTGCATTTCTCTCTGAAAGTTCCTCTTTTATTTTATTTTTCTCCACTGAAATCAGTTCTATTTTATCCTCCAGTTTCTTCGTTTTCATTTTTAGATCATTGATCTCCTCACAGTGTTTGGCTTCTCTTTCCTATTATGAATACACAATATGCAACACATTTAATTGTCATATCTTACATTGACACTTGAACTTCAAGTTGGCTTATGGTTTTAGAATAATGAAAACAAAAATTGTTACTATAATGATGGTCTAAGCAGATATTGAAATAACAATTATCTGAAAACAATTTTGGACAAATAAAAGAGATTTCATCTGAATTTCACTAGCACTTCATCATGAATATCCAGATGATTTTAGTAAATGGACGATTTACCTTCAATGCTATGTACATGATTTTGTAGTTGACCGAGTCTTCATCTTCTTGATTTTTATCAACTTGATCCAGTTCCTGGGTCTGATTCATTGCCTAAAATTGATAAATTTTGCTAAATTAGTTTGAGCACTTGATAATTTCTGTTGTTTGTTTTGCATTATTTTGAAAGTGGTCCACCTTTCCCTAGTCAAAGATATTTTAGATATATAAAATTATAATACCTCTTCTTCCACTTGCAAATCAGATGACTTCTCAGGTTCTGTGTTTAAAGAACTATCTTCATCGCAGCTAGAAAAGTAGAGGTTAATAGGTGCATGTATTATGTTTAAAAATAGCAATTTAAATTCATTTCACAATTCAAATATTTTTGATATATATATATATATATATATATATATATATATATATATATATATATATATATATATATATATATATATACATACTTTTTATATATATACTCATATACGTACTTTTTTGACCTGTTGCAAAGAACAGTCAACTCCTTAAAATTGATTTCACCCTCAATATACTTCTGAAGAAATGTGTTTAGGAGGACGGTGTCTTTCACTCCATCCACTGGCTTCAGAAGCCTTCCGCTCACTTTCGCTATCTTTCTTTCCCGCTTTAGTTTTTCGACACATTTAAGAAATGTTTCCCAGACTTCACTTGGAAGCTGAGCTAACCGCATTTCGAATCCAAATCTGTTGTTTAGTGTTTTCCTCTGTAAATGATTAAAAAAATTAAAATACACACTTTAATTTCTTTAATACAATTAACATTACTTGTTGACTTAAAATGTTTTGTTACTGATTAGTATTAAGAAGTAATAATGGAATAACCTACACTGATTGATCCCATGCATATTTCTAATCCTTTTTTCCATTTTCTAATTACATCTTTAGCTGTTGGTGTTTGAGTGGCGATTGTCTCAGGGGCAGACTTCATTCCAGATTTTTCGAACAAAGCATACCTAAAAAAGGTCGCCCTGTTGACCAAATCCAAATCACTTCCCAATTTTCTAACTTCATTGTGCTGATTGGCAATGTACTTTGCCTCATCAGGGCTAAGATCTTGGTATATAAGGCACATTCTCAATTCAAATGGGGATTTGTTCGTTACATCATCCCTTTTTAATAAGTTTTGGAGTGCTTGTCGAGAGTGGTTGCCTCCAATAACTTCTAGATGGCATTTATCGTAGTTGGTATCAAAATCGCCACAGATGTTGACAACCATCAACTGAAAGTAATTATGTGGTCTTAAAAGAAATTCCTCTTCCAGTTCTTTAACATGCTTTTTGTCTGGCTCTCTAAGTAGGTTGATGAAATCAGGTTGAACTAAGTGCTCCACTGGTAGTTCTTTATAGCCTATAAAATCAAATTTTATTGATTGTTCAAAGTGCTGTCTAAATGATTCCGCAATATACATATCATAAATCAAAATTCTAAGCAAATTAAATTCTAAGCAATAAAATTATCTCTGCCATAATACAGAATCAATTTTAGTGATCAATGAAAAATCATTGATTTCTTTTTTTACCTTTAAACTTTTCGTGAATTCCTTCTATAGTTTCTTTATTGGTAACTTCTGCTGAAGTTTCCTCTGGCAAGACATTTGTTTCTTCATTTGAAGTGTTTTCTTGCAAGACATTTGTGTCTTCATTTGAAATTTTCTTTGTCATAACATTCTGTTCCTCAGATGAAACTTAAACAAAAAAAATGTTCTGCTTAGTAATTAAAGCTTGTTAAAATATATTGAACCTCAGGATTTGCAGCATTTAGTGTGTTCATGTGTGTGTGTGTGTGAGGGTGTGTGTGTGTGTGTAAGGGACGGTGTGAGTGTTGTCTTGAAAGGAAAAAATTGAAGGGTTTAAATGAGGAATAATTTGCACCGATAATTGTACAATGTATACTTAACTGCACTTATTTTCATGATTTAAAATACACATACCACTGTTGCTGCTTTCATTCACTTCAGTAGAATCTTTTCTTATTGGAGAGCTATCAGTTGGTTTTTTAGGATCTGGAAAAAGAAAAGAAAAATTCAATGAACATATTTGAAGATTTAGAGAAGTGCATTTAAATATGTTTTGCATATGTGCTTTTGAAAAAAAGTCTGTCACGAAATCATCATTTATTCTTTCTCTCAATTCATTACTTTGTAAATGGTTGTACTAGGAAGTGAAGTGTAAGTTATAACAGAGAGAAGTAAAAGTTATAAATACAATGAAAATACAACCAGACTAATTGTATCAAACAAGTCTTTATTTTGAACTTTTGCAAACACAAGTAAAATTACCTCATTAAATTTTAATGGTTTAACTAATAAATTATTTAAAAAGCAAATAATTAAAAAAAGCGCAGCTATGTTAAGGCTTCCCGAAGCTGTAAAATGCGCTCAAAACATAATATGTCATTGCGAGGTCGGTTTTGGTTTTGATTTATAAGTATTGAACTTTAGTACTTCCAATTTATATAAAGGGTTTCCTCGGCTATATATTAGCATATTTGTTATGATATCACATGACTTTGTTGATCACGTGACGGTCATTTATAATTCTTGGAAGTGTTTCATATAAATCGCTTCGGCGCAGCTGATTAACACAATAACTATTAACATTTTGTTATATAAATAAACTCATCGTATCCTTGTGTATCCGAAATGTGCTTGGGAAAAGTCTTAGTATTACTTGGGTACAAAATATTTCCTGAGAAATTCAACTTACCTACAAATTTGAGGGTATTTTCCACACAATATCGTAATCTGTATCAAAACAAAGCCAACACACATTTTTCCCAAGCAAGATTCAGTTAGAGATCAACCTCTTCTTACAGATTTCCACAAAAATTCTCAGATTAATCCTCAATAATCACCTGCGCCAGACTCTTTTATACACACAAAATAAATTCTACCTCCAACCACGGGTATAAAAGAGAGTACATTTCAAAAGTATATTTTTCATGAGCATTTTGAACATGATAAATTTCAATCAAGGGTAGGTAAGCGGTGTATTTTTAAAATATTCGGACATATAAGACTTAAAAAACCTTTAACGACCCGTGAATTTTGCAATATCTATCTAGCATTTTACAAGCAGTTTGAAATAAAGCGTAAAGTTCATGACACTCTCCCCGTCATAACACCTCAAGTTTGCAGTGACCTGACGTCATTTTCCATTATGATGTCATATTTTGGTAGTTCAGAGATGTGAAGGCACAGAGTGCACTGTCATATTCTTCGGGAAGCCTTAACCTACCTGCGAGGTCTGAAAAATATTTTGTCACTCTTTTTTTAATGTAGATAACTTTTCAATGTTCAAGGTCATTTGATTTTGGAATGAGAAGCGGTCACCCATCCAAGTGTTATACAGGCTCGCCACTGATTAACTTGCCTGAAACCTCACTAGCGAGGCAGTATAAGTTCCCTATACACCATCTGCTATAATATCACTGTATCCGATATCAGGGATGGGGTAATCGTAATCGGGTAATCGTAATCGATTGTAATGATTACTTTTTTGCAAGTAATCGACAGTAATCTGTAATCGAAGAGATTTTCAATTACTTGTAATCGTTATTTAATCAATTACAGCTAAAATTTTCAATGTAATTATAATTACTTTTTCGATTACTTTCGATTATTTTATACGTAAATGGATGTTATTTTGGAGAATTATTTCCAGTCAGTCACACATAAATATCAAATATAAACCAACTAGTGTAATGTTTGGATTACCTATATCATAAGTTTAATAATGTTCTCAATAAAATTTGCATTATAAACCTACTGGTCTAGTATTAAATAATTCAGAAGTGTATTTCAACCATTTATTAATAAAATTTACAGATTTTTCGTATGCACTTTACATTTGACCCACTGTCCTCCTGCTGCATGTCCTTTTTCATATTTCAGATGTTGAAAAACTTTGTCTTGTAATAGACAATTAAAAATAGCAAAAACAGATTTAAGTGCTGTATTAAATATAAATAATTAAGTAAATAAACTACATTGTACTTGAAAAAAAGAAGATGGAAATACTTATTCATATCTGAAAATGTTTAAACAACTTCAAACTTGTGTTTTAGTAACTTTAAAATTTGCAAAATCATTCTCATGTTCTCATTCAAAATTGTAAGGTTGCTTTTATATCAGTGAGAGTTTATAAGTGTCTGTAAGAGAGGGAGTACGTGTCACTGTGTTTGCTTATCTTAATTGGCTAATTAATTGACTGAGACATCCCTGATTTGCAGATAATGAGGTGTAAACTGAGTTTAACTTTTATAATTCATAGACAAACAATCCCGGTATTACTAAAACAATTAATAGCTCTCAAAACACCAATTTCAATACAGAATGAAATTGTGCTATTAGTTTAATTACTTAAAGACACATTTAATTTACATGTTTATTACTAAGAGTTCTAATTTACTTATTTTTTTTTTTTTTTTGTAAGAAGACACATACAGGAATATTTAATGTGTACTGTCAGCCCGAATACTTCTAATGAAGTAATTCACAATAAAATATTAAATAATTTTTGAAACAAGTCAATAAATATGGGAGTTTAGATCCAAGGTTAAAAGAAATAATTAATTCCTTGGCATATTTTATTGTAGGAATCATGCCCCCACTTTCCATGGTAGAGAATCCCTCATTTGGGCATTTAGTGAGAATGTTAGCCAGAATAAATCCTTAAAAGAATCTGCACTGAAACTGCAGGAACACATTCAAACTTCAGTGGATATCAACAACATTACCATTTAAATATTTTTTTCTTTGATATTTGAAGGCCGGGATAAAAACTTGGAAGTAATCGATTATTAATCGATTACATCTTCCAAAGTAATCGATTACAGGAAAAATGAGTGTAATTGATTAATAATCGATTACACAAAATTCCTCTAAGTAATTGATTATTAATCGATTACATTTTTCAGTTATCATGCCCATCCCTGTCCGATACAAACGGTTGCATCTGAACATTTAAATATGGTAGTCTCAAAAGGGTTTGTCTGTAGAAAAATTCAATCTTATATAAGATAATAATAGTTTCATTGAAAAGTCTAATTTTACTTCAGTGATAACATAAAATATTAAGAATTTGCAAACTGACATCATGAATTGCAAAAGTTATATATAACAACAAGAAAATATATGACTATAACTGGAAATTCCAAAATCTTAAAAGTTTTAAAGGACAGACTATGAATAAGGCTGAAGTATACATTATTAATTAAGATATTATCCATCTAATTTAAGCTTAAGTTGAAACAAAAGTCAGAAGATTGAAATAATTAACAACTGTTCAATATGAGATAATTCAGATACAATAACATGTACGCACGGGTTGTAGATAAATACTGACTCGTAAGAAAAATGTATTTTTATGAAAGATGGTCAATCTAAAAACATCAAAAATATGAAATCATTGTATATATATTTTTTTGTCTATAACAATCACTTCTTATCTGAGTCATGACACCCAGCAATTTGTTTAGAAATATTTTTAAAAAAATATGATTTGATAATATATCAAATTAATTTTGATAATTTTGCAATTGATAGACCCGATCTTGAATTCCAAAATACTGTAATAGTGTAACTTTTTAAGTGATCAGAAGGGTCGGGACATACATATCCAATTTGATTTCATTACAGATGCTGATTGATATTGAAACATTTTACTTCTGTCATCCCAAACAGCAAAGCCATAAAATCTTCACAGCTTTAATTGATATAATACCAGTACCTAAAAGTAATGTTCACTCGGTTTTTGCTAAGAATAGTCAATTCCCCGTCAAATGATTCCAAAGAAATGTTCCTTCAATTCTGTTTAAAATAGTCAGTTTGTCAATAAATGATAACAAATTATAAACTTTGAGCATTAACAAAGTGAGTTTCTTAAAAATTATGATAGTGTTATTAATTGGCCAAAAAGAATTCAGATATTATGTAAAAATGTCTTTGAAAGGGGAATTTTTTTTATGCATTATTATGTGACCCAACAGTGTATTTCAAAAAGAAAGGAAACAAATGATGCTGAAAAAATATTTTGAAGCACAATATAAAATCACTATAACAAATTTAAAACTAAAGAAACAAAAAAATACTTTGAACACTACAGAAAAACTTGACTCGATCGTTATATAATACTTTGAAAAGAGCAGTACATCATAAGATTTGATGTTATTAATTAGGTGAAAAATACAGATTTATGCAATTTTGGCACTTCTATAGGTGAAATATTTTGTCAGTGTTAAAATATGTAGCTTTCGATACTCTGTATATTTTTATTAATTAACAGATGTATATTTTTTTTTAAATAAATGGTGTATTTTTTGATTATGTTAATAATTACAAAATATTTTGAGGTTAACAGCTGTCCCTTAGCAGTAAGGGAGTTTCATTCCTGAGCGTTTGGGAAGATTACTCTTTGAACCTATAGACTGAAAAGTTTGCATCATATATATATGTATATATATATGGATTTTGAGACTTCCAGTTTGCAGACAAAATAGAATTATTTTATGCAGCTTGATAATTCTTTGATTCTAAATAACATAAAATAGGTTATTTCATAGTGTCATATATTATATATTAACTTTTATAAAGATATCCCCATACCCCCAAACCCGGGGTTGAACTCTCGACCTATGGAACCTGTTTCCTAGAAGCACATGAACAGCGCGCTAGGACCGCTCGGCCATCTAGGCCAGTCAAAAACTCTTGATGCCGATGGAATTCTAGTGGCATCACCCTACACTACACTGTCATTGAGAAGGAAAGTGAGATTCAGTTATTTGGACATTAGTTTTATTAGAGGATCATTACTGATATACATTGTAATAAAATTAATTATTATTTATAAAGCACATTTTACAAAAACTTTTAAACCTATAAATATTCTGTATTTTGACAGTTTGATAACCTTTTAAAGTGAAGACCAACCCTTCCAAGTAAAAATAACTAGATCCGCCCAGAATAGATTGGCCATTCCATGCAGTTAAATTGGTCTTATAGCA